GTCCAATTAATTTCTTTCTATTTTTAGTAGAGACGGGGTCTCGCTCTTGCTCAGGCTGGTCTCGAACTCCTGAGCTCAAGCAATCCTCCCGCCTTGGCCTCCCAGAGTGCTAGGATTATAGGCGAGAGCCACTGCGCTCGGCCCCCCTGATACTCTTGAGAGTTATCTTAGACCTGTATATGCCTAACTATTCAGGTCCTGTGCTTTGTGTAGGGCCAGATACATCTTCCTACTAACCGAACCTACAGCAAAGATCCCACAGCAGACCAAAGCCCAATATAGTGCCAGTATAAGTTAAGGGCCCTTCTCTGTGTTTTTTTCTTTTTTTTTAGTCTTGTTTGGTGTGTATCAGTTATCATATTATATTGAAATTATCTGTTTGTGTGGCTGTCTTGCTCTTTAATAGTAATTCCTTCTTAGACTATAAGCTCAATGAGGGGAGAGACCAAATGAGTCTTGTTCACTATTAGCTCCATTGCCTGGCATGTAGTAGGTGCTCAACAAATGGTTGATAAAAGTATAAATGAATAAATGAATGAATGAATGAGTAAATAAACCTCTCAAAGTCAGGACCTGTATCTTCCATCAGTGTCTGGCAAAATACCCAGCATAAAAGGGGATTGTGTAAATATCTGTGAAGTGAACTATTGAACTAACCACGAAGCTGATCTGACATATTAGAGGTTCAAGTTTAGATTAGAGCATCAAGTTCCTATTTTTGGCTTATCAATCATTGACTGGTTGCAGTTCATGAGTATTATCTTTTTCTTCTTAGTATCTCTGAATATGTTTTTTTTTTCTTTTTTTGTAATGAAGATCTTACATTTTTAATAGTACTGGCCAATGCTATCCAGGCTAACTTCTATTCCATGCTCAGGCACAATTTACACTAACAACACTGGATTATTCCATGCCTGGACTATTCCACACTCAGGTGATCATGTTTCAATCATGCTATTCTCTCTGTTTCTTATGTTCTTCCCCATGCTTTCTTCTTCTCTCCTCAACCCAAGGAATTCCTACTCATCCTTCCAGGCCAAGATCAAACATCACCTCTTCCAAGAAACCTTTCTTATTCCTACTTTTCCTCCTTCCCATAACTCTCTGCTACTCCATGAGTCAATCAGCTGTCCCATGCTGCTTTGTTCATACTGCCTAAAAATGTGGCAATACATATTTTTTCTACATATACGTCTCCTTTTTTATCAGGTTAGCTGGAAGAAAATGAAATTTGTCCTGGATATATTTGTATCACTGTGTTAGAAAGGGTTCTCCAGAGAGACAAAACTAATAGGATGGTTAGATATATAGAGGAGAAGGGATTTATTAGGGTGGAGGCTGAGAAGTCCCATGATAGACCATCTGCAAGTTGGATACCCAGGGAAGTTGGACAGCCTGGGCTGTCCCAAGTTAAAAGGTCTCAGAACCAGAGAAGCCAATGATGTAACTCTCAGTCTGAGGCTGAAGACCTGAGAACCCAGAGGGCCACTGGTGCAAGTCCTAGACTTCAAGGGCTGAGGAACCTAGAGTTCTGATGTCTGAACCTGTCTGATGGCAGGAGAAGAAGGGTATGGGAGCTCCAGGAGAAACAGCATGCAAATTGGTCTTTCCTCTGCCTTTTTGTTCTGTGCAGGACCTCGGCTGATTGGATGGTGCCTGGCCACGTTGAAGGAGGATCTTCCCCACTCACTCCACCAACTTGTGCCAATCTCCTCTGCAAGCAGCCTCACAGACACATCCAGAAACAATGCTTTGCTACCTCTCTAGGTATCCTGTATCCAGTCAAGTTGACACCTAAAATAAACTATCACAATCTTCAAGGTCTAACACAGTACCTAGTGGAGACCTAAGTATGTTGAAACAATCAAGAGAAATTACAAT